CCCCCCCCCCCCCCCAAAAAAAAAGATCTGTCTGATCGGAAAGAAGAATTGCACTTGCTTTTTAAAAAAAAAGATAAAGAGACAAGGATTTCCTCCAGCTTTCTTTAACCTTTAAAACAAAATCTCACTGCACGTAACAGCATGGCTGGACTATTTTCAGTGTCTTCTTCTCTACTTTGGCACTTCCTAAAATGACCATCGAAGATAGAGGAATGGGGTTGGAAGGGACCTTGGAGGTCTTCTAGTCCAACCCCTGCTCAAGCAGGAAATCTGGTGTGCTTCTGTGCCACAAGATTAATGTTTGAGCATTCACAACTTCTGAAGTCAACATGTTCCACTGATTAATTGTTCTAATTGTCAGGGAATTTCTCCTTAGTTCTAGGTTGCTTCTCCCCTTGATTAGCTTCTATCCATTTCTTCTTATCCTGCCTTCAGGTGCTTTGGAGAATAGCTTGACTCCCTCTTCTTTGTGGCAGCCCCTGAGATGTTGGAACACTGCTACCATGTCTCCCCTAGTCCTTTTCATCAAACTAGACACCCCCAGTTCCTGCGATTGTTCTTGGTATGTTTTTAGCCTCCAGTCCCCTAATCACCTTTGTTGGTCTTCTCTGCACTCTTCCTAGAGTCTCAACATCTTTTTTTTATATCGTGGCAACCAAAACTGGTAGTTACTTGCATCTGTTTATTTAGTGACTGTTCAAAGCAAGGTCCTTCAAACTTGGCAAGTTTAAGACTTGTGGACTTCACCTCCCAGAATTCCTGAGCTAACATGACTGGAGGAGGAATTCTGGGAGTTGAAGTCCACAAGTCTTAAAGCGGTCAAGTTTGAAGACCCCTGGTTCAAAGTTACAACGGCACTGATAAAAGTGACTTATGACCAATTCTCGCACTCACAACATTTGCAGCATCCTCATAGTCAGGGCTATGTTTTGCTTGCAAGGACCTCAGAGTGGACTTGGAAGCCACACTAAGAAGTTGTTGCTTCCTTCACCCCTTGTCTTTCCAGACTCAACCACTTGAACTCTTTTGCGGTTCTTCTGGAAATGTTCAGTGCATAGTAATAGAAAAAATAATCTCCTTTGTCTGCTTTATTAATATGTTCCAACTGTTTGTTTAACGGCTTTTTCAAAACATTGCTTAAACATCACGTTTTGCAAGAAGGTGGGGTGTTTATTCATGCCAACCAAGGAGAGCTTTCCCTGTAAAGGATCCTTCATATGATTATATAAGTAAAGGGGTGAATTTCTTTTTCTGTGGGTTTGTTGTTTTTTGAGGGGGAAAAAAACACGCTTAGAATACCTCTAAGTTTCAAGGCAGAGGTGGCCTTTTTATGTGTTACTGGAGCTTTGTTTGCTGTTATTACTTGCAATAACTTAATAAATTCCGTTCCCCTTCCGTGGACTTTCCCATAGCTCAAATAAATGATGTTTTATCTTTAATTAAACACCTTGAAGAAATTGCACCAATTCTCCAATATGCAAGCTCCCTTCGCCAACCTCCCCATTCCAATTTCTCCCCTACACGCCCCCCTCCCCCCCCAAAAAATTAACAGATCCTATTACAACAGCCAGGATTCATTTTGTAATTATTCTGAAGCTGCTCTTTAGAAAGCCTCCAGTGAAACAGAGTGATACTTCAGTAGAAAAGATAATTAAAAGCAATTATTCAGTTTGTTAGAGGATATAAAAATTAGAACAGTGCATCACTGTCTTTATTTTTTAAAAAGTAATGGTAGTGCAACAGATAGTTTATCACAATATTGCTCTATTTAAAAATTAAAATAAGCAAACGTTACCTTTTTCTCTTAAAGAAAAAGGAACAAAGTGCTTAACAGGCACTACACGACAACTCTTGCCGAGAGTGATCTACGAGATCTGTATTACAGTTGTGTATATTGTGAAAAGTATTTAAAAGGAGTTGAAGCCCTCTTTCTGTTTTCCTCAAGGCTTCTTATTTCAAATCTAAAATAAAGCTGTGTTTGCTTTCAGGATTTGCTTGGTTGACATTAATGCAAGGGTTTAAAACAGCCACATGGTTGTTTTCTGGCTAAAAGAGGGAGCTGCTTTAATAGGAGGATTCCCATCATGTCTTATCTGCACACACAACTGCACTCATACAAAGGACCACCAGGTGGCAGCAAAGACACACAGGACTCTAATCCTGTACTCCCACCTGGTGGTCATCAGGATTTTTGCAATCTGTCCAATCTGTCAATTCTGCACAATCACTTTGTAACGTATTCTAGGGAATCCTTTGTTCGCAATATTAATGTAAAAGCAAACTTGATTACTAATAAATGACCTTTCAAAATTCCATGACGGGATTCTCTCTTCAGGTTGGCTGGCAGTTAAAGAATCTGGTCAATGCATTGCGTGAAGACCCAAACGGCGTGATCTTAACATTGAAGAAGAGACCTCAGAATACCCTCGTTTCTGCTCCGGCCCTACTCAAAAATGTCAGGTGGAAACCCCTTGCTCTCCAGGTAAGATGACCTTGGACAGTATCTTTGTTTAAGGAACTCTGAAAATTGCATCACTGACTCTTGTTTTCCGTGTCTCGGGAGTCGCTGTCAGCAATCCTCATTAACCATGGAGGGTAAAGAAGCAACAATTGGGAGAATTGGGATGATTTAGATAAACTGGGGGTTAATGATAGGGGAAGGATTTACTGTGAACGTGTTCTGTTGTTTTCTTTGAATCTCTTTGTGATTTGTATTAGTTTTATATTTTTGATATGGTGAAATGGCCAAATCTATTGTATATGGAGATTCTCAGTCATCCAAGACATGGTTGTCCCTAAGGTGCTTTTTCAAAAGGCAACTGGACTTTATTTTTCTTTGAAGATACTTTGCTTCTCGTGCAAGAAGCTTCTTCAGTTAGAATAGAGCAGAGCAGAGGACAATACAATAAATGCAATACAATACAATACAATGCAACACAACACAAAGGTGCTTTTTCAAAAGGCAACTGGACTTTGTTTTGCTTCTTATCCAAGAAACTTCTTCAGCTAGAATAGAGCAGAGCTGTTCTGACCCAAACTCTTTTCCAATAAGACAAACAATAATTAAAGGGAACAGAAACCTCTTACAAATCCCCAGTTGAAAGGCTGCTGCAAACTAATTAACTTTGATAAGCACAAGCCTTGCCAAAACTCTGCAAGACTGCCAAGAATCACAGATAAGAAATATTTCACAACACATGAGCCTTCAAATATCGACTTAAGATACTGTAATGTCCACGAGGCTGAGTTTCAAAACGTCTTTGCTTCCTGCAAAGAACATTCGCTTCACAGCTGGTTTTTATCTTCTTGAAGGAGGGGCCATTACCTTGCAGCCTTACTCCCAAGTCACCCGTGCTTCTGCAGCTGCTCTTTCCTGTGAGCAATCCTGCATGCATGTGCACTTGGCACAGGCTCCTCGGGAACCTCCTCATTGCTGCTGCCAGCCCCTACAATCTCTGAAGGCAGCAGTCCACTCCCTAATGGTCCTGGCCCCTCATCTGAGTCCTCGCTCTCCTCAGCCATCTGCACCTGCTGCCGGCTAACCACAACAAGAGCAGAATAGACGACAGTACAATATGATCAATGGAATGCAATACAATACAATACAGTGCAATACAGTCAGGATGGGATTCTCCCAAGTTTAACAACCGGTTCGGTGATCGCGTGCACATGTACGTACGCAGCTTTCAAAATTACTTACCTTCTATGTTATTTCTGGGGAGTAACACAGCTGAGACGAGGCAATCTGCTCTGCACTGCTCATCAGCTGAGAGGATAGAGATAAGTACAGCGTATGCAGGGGTGGACAGGCCAACCTGATCATTGGAGAGAGCCGGTTCTCTCAACAGCTGATCATTGGAGCTAGAGGTTGGCCCGAACCGGTCCAAACCAGGAGAATCCCACCCCTGAATACAATGCAATCAGTGGTGATATTCTACCGGTTCGGCCAGGTTCTACTGAGCCGGTAGCGCCGATGAGCAGTGCTCCACCCCTCTGCTGTTAAGCCTGTTCACCCACCCGGGCTCCCATACTCACCTTTATCCTCTGCTTTTGAAGCACAGCTGCTTTGCACGGCACGGATGAGCGCTGCGCGGCAGCTACTGAAGCGACCGGGAGTGTGCAGGCTTGCAGGAGGTGAGTTGAAATGCCTCTACGCCTGTGCAAAGTGTACATTTGGCACACAGATGCAAATTGTGTGCACGCGTGCAAAGCAAGCAACACCCACCAAACCAGTGGTAAAAATATTTGAATCCTGCCACTGAATGCAATGTAAAACAATAGAATACAATGCAACCCAACCCAACACGTTTAGTCACCCCAAAGGTGTTTTGTTTTCCAAAAGGCAGCTGGACTTTCTTGGTTTGTTTGTTTTTCCTTGAAGATGTTTTGCTTCTCATCCAATAAGCTTCTTTGGTTCTGGAGGGTCTATAAAACTGAAGAAGCTTCTTCAGTTGAGAATGCAAATGCAGGATGAGAAGCAAAATGCCTTCAGGAAAAACATAGAAAGTCCAGTTGCCTTTTGAAAAAGTACCTTTGAGACAGCCATGACCTGGTTGTCTGAGAATCTCCATAGACAATGATAGAGGTACTACTCCAATCTTTGGTTCCTGCCTAGGCCATCTCGCTGTGCTAGCAGCCAGAGAGTTTCCAAGATACCCAGTAAATATACTTGGCAGATATATTTTTCTTTAAAGTTTTGGTGCATCATAAATGTATCTTCCTATATTTCCACAACTTGCAGATCTGAGCCCAACCTTTTCCCCTTTATGAACTCCTGTGTTGTGAGGTACCTTGGAAGGGGTTAGTAATGCACTCCAGAGGTGGTATTTAGCAGATTCTGACCAGTTCTGGAGAACCGGTAGCGGAAATTTTGAGTAGTTGGGAGAACCGGCAAATACCACCTCTGACTGGCCCCGCCCCCATCTATTCTCTTTTTAAAAAAAAACAAATTTTATTGATTTTACAATTAAAACAAACCAACAACACATACATAAATGAAAGAGAGAAAAAGAAGAAAGGGAGAAGAAAATGGAAAGAAAAAAATAGAAAACAATTAAAAACATTCTCATCTTCAACAGTTTGTAAGACCTCTTTTTTATTCTTATTTTATGCCATATACACACACCTAATCCTTACATATATCTGTGTATCACTACTGTGGATTTATCCTATCCTCTTTTGCCTTTTAGTGTAAAGTCTATCTTTGGTCTATCCATTTGTACCAGCAGTTCCAGCTGCTGTAGTATATTGAAGTGACTTTATTTTTTAATGCCAAAGTTAATTTGTCCATTTCTGCACAACTTGAAATTTTTTGAATGATCATCTCTGATGGAACATGAGGCTGCTTCCAACATTGTGCAAAAGCCAATCTGGCCGCTGGCAAAATGTGTATTATTATATATTTCACTTTTTTTGATATTTGTTTATCAAAGATCCCTAACAGAAAGGACTCTGGTTTGAATTTGATCTGTTCTCTTGTCATTTCTTCCAGCCAATATCTAATTTTCTGCCAATATTTTTGAGCTTCTGTACAGGACCACAACATATGGAAAAAAGTTCCCTCTTTTTTTTTTTTTTTTTTTGCATTTCCAGCAATTTGGACTCATATTGGGGTACATCTTCGCTAATCTCGAAAGAGGAAGGTGCCATCTATAAAACATTTTATAGGCGTTTTCTTTGTATGCTACCGATTTTGTAATTTTATTATTTCTACCCCAGACCTTTTCTCATTCTGTTATGGTGATGCTACGTCCTATATTCCTACTCCAGGCTATCATGTTCCCTTTTACAATTTCTTCTTCTAATTCTACTTCTAACAAATAATTATAAAATTTTGTTATATTTTTTTTGCCTGATCCTAATAAAATTTTATCTAATTGCTGGAGTTTATTGTTAATTCCAAATTCTTTCTTGTCCTGTTTATATCTACTTTGAATTTGAAGATATGCCCACTGATCAATTTTTAGTCCCCACTCTTGAAGTTCTTGCCGCGATTTCAAATTTCCTTGTGTATCCAATAGATCCTTATATTTAATCATTTTAGTGATATCCAGATTATTTGGGTGAATCATCGCCTCCATTGTTGAAATCCAAATTGGTATTTTTAAATAGTGTTTTTTCCGTATTTTCTTCCAATTAGTTAATAATGAGTCTCTGATTAGGTGTCTGTGAAAATATTTCTGGCTAGTTTTCCCTACATCCCATAAAAAAGCATGCCACCCCCTTTGCAAGTCATGGCCTTCTAAGAATAATATTCTCTTATTGGTTAAATTCACCCATTCCTTCAACCATACTACAGAGGCTGCACTATAATACAACTCCCAGTTTGGAAATGCCAGCCCTCCCCTGCTCTTCATATCCTGCATTGCCTTTAAATTTATTCTAGATTTATGTTTAGTTATTATTATCTGATTTTGCAATTTTGAATCCTTTGAGGTACTCTGTAATTGAGTTTCTAATTCCTTAATTTTTTGTTGTAATTTGTTTTGCTGGGCGTATTTTTCCTTATTCCTCTTGGCATCATAAGACATTGTTATACCTCTTATTACTGCCTTCATTGTATCCCAAATGTTTTGTTTCGTAGTTGCTCCATTATCATTTTCCTTTAAGAAATAATTTAATTCTTCCTTGAGTTTGTTGGTGTATTATTTTTCTCTTATTAACTGAGTATTTAATGTCCATCTTTTCTGTGGTCTTTTTGATAATCAGCAATAGAATTAAAGTCTCCTCTGATACAAATATTTCTTTTTTCCAATCCTATTATTTTTCCATAAAGATGCTTAAAAAACTCTTTTTGATCTCCGTTCGGGGCGTAGATTACCACTAAGAGAATTGGGATGGCATTAATCCAGATCTGAAAACCAGAATTCTTCCCTCAGAATCCGACCATATTAAATCTGCTTTCAAATCCTCTTTAACATATACTGCAATCCCTTTCTTTTTCCCCATGTCTGCTGGTGCGGTAAATAGCTTCCCTAATTTCAGACATTCTAGGTATTTTTCATCTGTTTTCTTTATATGAGTTTCTTGTAGGCATATTATATCAGCATTTTGTTTGATTAGTTTAGCTATTATCCTTTTCCTTTTTATCATCGAGTTTAAACCATTTATATTAATTGATAGTACTTTCTTTTCTTCTTCCATTTAATTAATTCTGTTTCGCTCTTTGTCTTGTAATGGCTCTGGTCTCTCCTTGTGCCCGAAGATGTGTCCTACTTTCTTCTCTCTCCTGATGTAGATGAGTATTTCCTTGATTTCCTAAAGTTCCATCTCTGTTCTTATGATAGCCTTGATATTCCTGGGAGTTTGTTTCCAGTTCCTCCTTACTGCTCTGGTCTTTCGGACCGACCAATCGCTCATAAAATTCCTGGGCCTTTTCCATGGAGTCTATTTTAATTTTCCTTTTGTTCCAAAAAACTAACATCCCCTCTGGGATTAGCCATTTAAATACGATTCTTTTCTGATTTAGGTAAGCTGTTAAGA